GAAGGAATGATTTTTGAAAAAATTTTTCAAAAAGTAATTGATGAAAAAAAATAATAAATTATGCTAATGTTAATAAAGAAAATTCGACTTTATCTGCACTATTGAACTAGCCTCACTAAACACCTCACTACCTTTCAATTGGATTCATCTTGAAGGACATAATGTGGATGCGAAAAAAATGGTTGAATATATTGACTCAAGAATTTGGAGAAATAAAGCCATTATAAGTGTTAGTTTAGATAAACCTTATAAAAAAGGATTGGAAAATTTAATAAAAAGGGCCGACGTCATCTTTTTTTCCCAAATTTTTGCTGAAAGTAAAGGTTATACTCGTGTGGCTGCTTTTGACTTTTTAAAATTTATGGGTAGATCTTGTAAAGAAACGTAAGTAATAATTTAATAATTTATTTTTGTATTCATCTTTTTTTAATATTATAATATATATATATATATATATTATAATATTTCCTACGTACGTACGTATTATACGTATTTCCTTATATTTATTTATTTATTTATTTATTTAATTTTAACGCATAGTGCCTATTTATTTTGTACATGGGGATCATCAGAGGCAATGTTTTATAACAATAAAACCAAAAGAATTTATGCCGCGTCTGCACTACAAGTACCAATTATAATTGATAGTGTAGGAGTAGGTGATACATTCGTTGCTTGTGCAATATACAGTCTAGTTCAAGGTATGAGTCCAGAAGGGTGTTTAAGATTTTCTTGTGAATTAGCAAGTAGAAAATGTGCTCAATTCGGTTTCGGTGGTATGATTGATGAAATGGATAAGCTATTTTGGCTATATGGTCGGAATGAATCTTCTTCTACTATTAATACTTCTTCTTCACCTGTTAAAAATACGGGAGGTTTACGTAAAATATTTAAGTTTACTGGACTATTTGGATTAAGAAAAAAACTTAAACCTCAATCTATTGATGCAATAGATCGTGGTGATGCAATAGATAGTGGTTTTGCCGATGCAGAGGACTTTGATAGCATATATAGTTTTTGTCAATATGATGATTCTATTAATGATGGTTCATTTATTAGTAGCTTTGATAGTATTGGTAGTAACAGTACCAATAGTATTAATAATAGTATACCGCTTATAAGGAGTAAGCATACCAAAATAATATAGAGATTAAATGCAATAGAATATTGTGAAGAGTTTATGTCTTGCGTTAGGGTGATATTTGATTATCTGTTATTCAAATTTCAATGTATATAACCATATATAATAAATCTTTCTTTTTTAGAGTGTTTACTTATAATTTATTAAATAGATTATTTCATATAGCATAAAACTTTACATTCATAGAGCATAAAACTTTACATACTATAAGCCAATAATATTATAGATTTTATAGATACAAATAAGTATGAACCAATTAAGATATTTAATGATCTTTAATATAATAAAGATTCAGTTTTAAATTTTTAGAAATACTAATTTCGCTAATTTCATCAATTTCAATAATTTTTTTTTATTATACAAGATAATTTCACTTACATCTATATAAACTCTTTCAAATTCATTCGGAAGTCAATACGTATAACCTTACGGCAGGGTTGGCAATGGAGCCAATGGAGCTCAATGGTTATGCGAATGGAGCTCAATGATTATGCGAATGGAGCTCAAAAAACTAGTATCCACAGAGCTCCATTGGTTCCATTCGCAGCTCCATTGACAACCCTGCCTTACGGATATCCAGGTCAATTACTATTATAAATTATTGAACCCGTTTATCTGACACTTGAGATCTTTACATTTTCCGATCGGGCAAATTCGGGAAAATTTCAAACAATATTACCTTGCATGTAAATCATTTTTGCCTTTATTGATTCAAACGTTCATTCGATAAGCTATTAAATCAATAACGATAAGTGATTTTTTTAGCAAAGATCCCATTTTAAAACCCCTTTTTTTTTTTTTTTTTTTTTTACTATTACTATCCTATTATTATTACAATAAAATTGTCCATTTCCGGTTGATCCAGCTTTATATCGGGAATAGTATATCAAATTTTAGTCAACGTGTGACTATTTGATCACTCAAACTAATCAAAGATGTACGTACAAATTTTTTTTATTAACATTAGCATAATTTATTATTTTTTTTCATCAATTACTTTTTGAAAAATTTTTTCAAAAATCATTCCTTC